ATGAAGGAAGAAATGAAGGCTGCCCAAAGTGAAATAAAGCAAAATATACAGGGAACTGACAGTGAAGGGAAAGAAACCAGGACCCAAATCAATGATTTGGAACAAAAGGAAGAAATAAACACCCAGCCCGAAAAGAATGAAAACACAAGAATTCAAAAAAAATGAGGAGAGGCTTAGGAACCTATGACACAGCTGTAAGCACTCTAATATCCAAGTCAAAGGGGTCCCAGGAGAAGCACAAGAGCAAGAAATTAAAAACTTATTTGAACAAATAATGAAGGGAAACTTCCCCAATCTGGCAAAGGAAATTGACTTCCAGGAAGTTCAGGCAGCCCAGACTCCCAAAAAAGTTGGATCCAAGGAACACACCAAAGCACATCATCATTAAGTTACCCAAGATTAAAGGTAAAGAGAGAATCTTAAAAGCAGCAAGAGGAAAGGAGAAAGTTATCTACAAAGGCGTTCCCATAAGATTAGAAGCTGATTTATCAAAAGAAACCTTGCAGGCAAGAAGGGGCTGGAAAAAAAGTATTCAAAGTCAGGAAAAGCATGGACCTATATCCAAGATTACTCTATCTGGCAAAGCTATTGTTCAGAAAGGAAGGGCAGATAAAGTGCTTCCCAGATATGGTCAAGTTAAAGGAGCTCATCACCCCAAGCTCTTATTATATGAAATGTTAAAGGGATTTGCCTAAAAATATGATAAAAAATATGAACAGTAAAATGACAACAAACTCACAACTATCAACAACTGAACCTAAAAAAACCAACAAAAACTAAGCAAACAAGTAGCACAGGAACAGAACCAGAGAAATGGAGATCACATGGAGTGTTATCAGTGGGGAGAAGTACAGAGAATAAGAAGCATAAATGGTAGGCATAAAATAGACAGGAGGAGGTTAAGAACAGTATAGGAAACAGAGAAGCCAAAGAACTTATATACACAATCCACGGCAATGAACTAAGCGGGGGCGGGGGGAGCTGGAGGTTTGGGGGTACAGGGTGGAGGGGTGTAAAGGGGAGAAAAAACTGTCAAAACTGTAATAGCTTTATCAATAAAATATACTTAAAAAGAATACTTTTGTAATTTTGGCAGTTACTTTAACATTCACTGTTATTAAAATTTAACATATTAAAAAAAGAATTATGAAATTAAGCCCAGAGAAAAGAGAAGAGTTATCCAAGATCACAGGACAAGTTAACATAGTTGGGTTTTTCAGCATTCATTCGGCGGCCACATGGAGCTGAGATTTAGGGATGCAGCACTTACATTCTCATACACAAGGCCATTACGGAGACTGCAGAAATGACCTCACAGCATTGTGCTCAATTATCTGATGCACCAAGAAAACAAACCAATTACAGTTCTCCAAGGGCCATATTCTTATGCTATAAAACCCACTTAAAATAACCTAGAGAAGCAGAAATTATTATCTCATGTTTGTAAGTGAAAAACTGTACAAAATTAAACATAAAGCAGCAAATCTCACTCTAATATGCATGGGGTTATAAGCATCCGATGGGATTCTTCTTGAAAGCAAAACACAACCAAAGACATTCAGCCAACTGAGAGTAGAACCAAAGTCAACAACTAGGGAATAGGAAAAACACAACATTATTGGCCTGATAACAATCATTGAATCTACATAAATAAAAGAACTGACCTATTCCATTGCAGACTTTATTATGGAAGACAACACAGATGCCATGAATCTAGAAATTAAACTGACATAATCAATAAGGTAATTTTAATGGATACATATCTACTGAGATAGTCAAGGTGTTTTATACATCTTCCAAATTTAAAAATAATGGTATTGATAATAATTCACCCCATCCTATTTCATCAGAGGACATTAGAAATAAAGTAGTTCCTGAGAAAGCAGTTCAAACAAAGCCATCCCCCAATTCAGCATTGTTGCAAAGATAGCATGGAAAACACAGATATTCCTTTTGGTAAACACCTTTTGCAATGAAACACACTGTCAATAGTCTTGAATACCTAATAGCTTGTTCCACTCAGAAGAATTTTTTAAAGGATAATTGTCTAAGTATACTATTAACTTCATTGTACGTATGAGGCAACCAGAGACCACAGTCAGAGATGCAGGTAAATTCAGTACCCTTAATTGCTAAACTTAACTGGGGCCATCCTGTTCTAATCCATTCAGTGGGCAGTTAGACAGATTTGATAGGGATGTCACTGCTTAGGAAAAGTCTTGAATTTATGGAGCTTTAGAGAATGACAAAGTTCAATTATGCTTTGAAAGAAGGTAGAACAGGGTCTCCTCAACACCACGGGATTAAAATCCCTTAATAAAAGGAAAGAATAATTAAAAGTCTGTAGCTCATTTCATCAGTTATCCTAATGCTTCTCTCTAAAAGGTCTTACAAATAAATGGTCCCTAATTCCAGATATCCATTTCTAATATTTAATTTAGAACTTGAATTTCTTTGTGCCTTTTGAACTTAAATTAGCAATGATTTAAGTTTTTAAAAGAACTCAGCTACAACTTACATTTCCAAGAACAGGACATTGTAAAGAAACTTTTTTTTTTTTATTTAAAAGAGTTGAGAAGAAGAATTAAAGGAGAGAAGGCAAAGTAGTTCTCACAATGGAATTGGGAATAGAAGCTCTGCCATGGATAAGATCATCACAATTAAAAGCAGTTTTTTGAACATTCATATAACACTAGTAATTGAATACACTAAATAATTTATATAATATTTTTAAAAGGGTTACATGGACTCTGGGAGAATCATCCTTTCTATTAAAAGGAAAATAGGAATTCACATAACCTTGTCATGTCTAGTGAGTGAGGCTATGGAAAATTTTACACAGTTTAAAGTGGAGTAAGGATTCAAAATAATTAGGAAGTGAAGTACGCTAGCTGAATGCCATTTGTGAAGTGACTTCCTGACTGGGATATGCGTTACACCTTGAAATTTATGTATCTGCAGGGCTCATTAATCTAGATTCTTCTCTCTCCACTAGTGACTTGGCATGATAAAAGTCTGAAATGACACAGTGGAGACCTAAGAGTGCTTTACAAAGAGTACCTGTTTTTAAAAGTACTTCTGAAGCAAATTAAATATGCTTTTACGGGAACCATACAGACATAAAGAGGTCCTGGAGGCATGGCACAGTTCCTGACACAGGCCAGAAGCCGAGTACAAATAATTCAACTTCACCAGGGACACTGCAAAATATGAGTGTTTTGATGTTTTCAATTTTTAAGTTTTTTCCTGTTAATTAAGTGTTTTCCTAGCATAGAGAATGCATTTTATTATGAATTACAAGAACTCTACTTGATTTATATGGCCATTATTATGTTTGGTTCGTTTGTATCTTGATCCTTTTCGTTACTCATTCGGTCACTTTCCAGGTTCCGGCTTCCATCCTTGCTGTTCTCTGCTCAGCAGCCAGAACAATCCTTTGAAAACATAGTTAGGATCTCATCAGTCTTCTGCTGAAATCTGCCAGTGGTTTCTCATTAACGTGGGGTCTCAATGCTCAATAACAATGACTTCTGTTCACCCATTCCACACCTACCAGGAAGCAGGCACTCATCCAATCCTGGGCAGACCACCAGCTGATTCATATTTATACACATTCATAACTGTTTTCTTTTGCTTTGAATGACAAAATGTGTTCAATTTCTTCAAAAACTAGCTATAGAAAAAAGTTTTATATGTAAACAATCAGGAATCACATTAGAAAGCTCATTAGAAAATATTAAAACACACACTTTCAACTGAAAGTGGAAAAATGTTGCTATGGTTTTAGGTTCTTTTCTAACTCTGAAATTTATTTATTGAACTCTATTCCAGCCCTATTGGCCTCAGAACAGCAGAATTAGTTCCTGGGTATGCGACATTTTAACAATAGCCACAACTCCAACAAGGTTAGCATTGCACAAGCATAGGAGATAGTGAGGGTGAAATGATCCTCTTTTTCTGCCTGTTGTTTATTTGACATATCTCTGGTTGATCTCTGACAATTTTCAACTTGACTTCAAACCATGCACTTTACCTTTTAGCTGAAAGAAAAGAATTCCCTCTGATCCTCTAAATGTTCAGAACAATTTAATAATTTAGAGTGCCATAAATCAGCACAAATATCAACAATTAAAGAAGATTATGTACTTAATATGAAAATTTAACTTCTCATACATGGCCATTGCATTTAGATGGATTCATTACCAGATACTGAATTATCATCATAGCAAATTAAAACTTCAGGAATTTTGTCTATTTTTTTAAAGATGAATAAACTGAGTTTATGACAGGAGAAAAGACTTGTCCAAAGTTTTACAGTAAGGGACAGAACACGGGACTAGAATTCAGGTCTCTTTATTCATATTTTAGTAGTCTTTCCAGTACACTTCTGGCAGTGATTTGCATACATAATATCTTGGTTATATACTCAGGGATGTAACCTCATGAGCTGCTGAGGGGAAAGGAGCAGTGCTTTGGCTAAATGAGTTGGAAATTCATAACTGTGACTGGCCAAACACTATTAAGAGCCTGTCAAATATTTCAAGTAGCAGCAGCAACCATGATTTAGAGTATATTGTGGGTGAATTAGTAGTGAATACAAATTGTTTAAACTACACAAATTTAGAGTGCTTGGTTGTCATCATTTCTTTAAAGTTATTTTACAATTCCCTTTTCTGAACTGGAGATTTCTAAGAGCTACTATTTGTACGATTTTAAGCTCTATTCTAAGTATAAAGAAGCACAATATTAATTAGTAATTTAATAAACATACTGGAAATAAATTCAAACCCAAAAGTCAAGGTAATTATACTAATAAAATATGTACATCCATTAAATACACTCATAAAATCAGAACATTTAAACTAGTTCATTGACCCATTTCTTGACAACAGAATGGCAGGATGGAAGATAAGTAGGGTTGTTGATTAAGCCTGGCTGATGTCACTGTACTCTACAAATGACTCTGTAAGAATTGATTCATGACTCCAGATGACCTACCACTGATTTGTTAGCTCTTCGAGAGAAGAGATGATAAAAGTTCACTTTGCTGATATAATACAAGCCACCCACCCCCACCTTCCTGTAAAATGAAGCTTCCACAAGACAACTGAACAGGCCTGTGTACAGAGATGACCTCATTTATTTAGGTGGTAAGGCCAATTTCTGTTTCAGGGTGAAATGCTGTAGAAAATATTTTGGTTATGAATTCTTACTTATCTGCAAAATGTTTTTTTTTCTTAAGAAAACATAGGCTATTTACTGACAATATAAGTCTCCATCAGACAATGATTTATTTTTTTAAAGAAGTGATAAACAAGCTGAATTGAAATTGCACATTTTAAATATTAAATACTAATTTTTAATTGAAAATCATGAACCAGGATACCATGGAGTAATTCCTTAGGAAATTCCATGTGTATTTAATAATGAGCCTGAATTGGGGATGCGGTATCATTTGTCCTGTCATCTCATTAGCACTTTGGTAATAGGAGGACATTTGCATCTTTATTTAAATTGTTGTCATTTACCAGAATTACAGTCATGGTCATGTAGATAAGTCTTTATACATGCTACAAAGAACTAAAAGAGAGAAAGCCATACCATATTTTTCCTGTCCAAGTTATTGTTTTTAGATATAAAATGTATTGTCATCTGTCATGTTCATGGAGTCAACAGTTTAAGTGAAGGGAGGTAGAAATATTTCCATATAATTTAAAAAATTAGGAAACGATATGTTTTTTATTGCAATTTTATCTCAAGTCCTTTCTAGAACCTTCTATTGATCTGAGCTGTCAGAAGACAACTACACTATTTTAAACACAGCTTCATAAATGTCTTGTGTAGAAAGCATATTTTATAGAGGCATATAAAGAGATACATAGAAGAGAATTTTGTAGTAGGTTTACTTTTCCTGTACTCTATGAAAAGTGACAGAAGTATCATCTCTATACACTAATCTCTTCCCATCTAGAATCAGGTGCTCCTCAGACATTTTCAACATTAGTAACTGAATACTGCTGGAGAAAAACTATTCAAAGTATTCAAAAAGATGTACAGATCATTCTGGCCCACCCCCATACAGGACACTGGCAAGGAGCTGTAAGAGCTACACAGATGAGACAGACACACCGCTGGGGAGGCGGCACTGAGATGAGGAGGGGAACTGAAGCCATCCGGCCCCATCTCGACCTCTCCCACGGTTTCCCCTTCTTCTCTTCCTTAAAAGTAACCACTGTTCTGATTTTCAAATCACGCTTGTAGTTTTGTCTGGTTTTGAAAATTATATGAATGTGTTTTTAACATCCTTTATATATTTTATGTGTATTTATGCACACATTTCTTTTCTGGATATAATACTTAGGAATGGGGTTCCTATGTTAGTGGTGATGAGTGTGTCCCATTTGTGCTAGGTAACAGCAAATCATCTTTTTCCCCAGCAGTATTTACAACCCCCTTGCTCTGTGTCCTCACTGCCTCTTGGTATTGTGTAACTTTTACATTTTAGCCATCCTGGTGACTGTTTGGTGGTATATAATTTTGGTTTTAACTGGCATTTTCCAGTAACTAATAACAATATGTTTTAACTTATCTATTGCTTTAGGGTATCTTTTTAAAAAATATCTGTTCAAGTCTTCTGTGGTCTTTTTCTTTTTTCTGTTGGAAGGACTATTTTTCTTATTTATTCATTTTCTTATGTTTTTATGTTACTGAATTCTTTATATGTTCTGAATACAAAATCTTTGTTACCAAGTATGTTCTCTCATATTTTCCCTTGCCTTTCCATGATTATAATAATGTTTTGTGATTAAAATAACTTTGACTTTGATATAACTTATGAATCCTTTTCCCTCCTATGCTGTTACCGCTTCTTGGCCTTTTGGCTAAGATCAAGTATAAAGAAAATTTTGTATAAACCAGTTCATAAAGTTAATCTCCTATATTATCTTCTAGATTAGAAACTAATTGTTTTGCCTTTTATGTTGATATTTTGATTGAAAACCCAGCTGGGATTTATTTTTGTGTCTTGTTTGAGAGAAAGACCAAATTTTCTTTTTCTTGTTGCTATCCTTGAACTGGCATAATTTTTCCTCCATTTTTTTGCATTGCAAACTTTATCATACAGTTTTGTCCAAAATGTTTCACTCTGTTTCTGGACTATGTATTCCATTCCATCAGTTGAAATGCATATCTTGCCTCAATTCTACTATGTCTTATTTATTTATATTAATAAAAAGTATTGCTCTTCCATATAGCATGTTTTTCCACCCTTCTGTTTCCAGAGCATATTGATTATTTTTCCTAAATTTCCATATAGGTTTTAATTTTTATTGCAATCTTATAGATGCTGTATATGTTTAATATAAACATTTGATAATTAATAAATGACTTAATAGGAGTGGTAAAAAAGTGCATTCTTCTTTGTTGTTTAAATCAGAGCTTTAATATTTCATCATTAAATATAACGCATGTTTTAGTAGTTTTTAGATACTTATGAAATTAAAGACATTTCCTTTTATTCCTAGTTTGCTACAGGTTTTTTAAAAAATCATAAGTAGAGGTTGAATTTTATAAAATATCTTTCCTAACTCTATTGAGGTGATTGTATACTTTTCTTTCTTTTACTGTTTCAGTTAGTTAGATTAGCTCATTAGAATAAACTGTTTGAGTTTTTAATGATAAACTGACTTCACATTCCTGAAAAAAGACATAAATAGTTATTATGCATTATCCATTTTATATATAATTAGATATTACTTGCTAATTTTGACTTAGAATTTTTGCATCTAATTTTGAAATAAGTTGGAAAGTGTTTGCATTTTTGATTCTCTCAAAAATTTGGATAAAATTGGCATTTTTTTTTCTTAACATTTTGGCAGTATTTGATAGTGAATCTATCAGAGTCTGTAGTTTATGTGTGGGAAGATACTTACTTTGAATTCAGCTTAGGTGAAGTGTATTTTTCTGGAAATCCGTGTATCTAAATTTAAAAATATATTGGCATGGAGAATCTTCTGGTCAAGATCGTGGCACAGGTAGACATGTCTTGCCTCTTTCCACAACCACATCAAAATTACAACTAAAATATATAACAACCATCTCTCAGTACAATCAGAAATCGAACTGAATGGAAGTCTGACAACTACGAAACTAAAGAAACTACATCCATCAAGACTGGTAGAAGGGGTACAGACACAGAACAGGCTGGTCTCTCACCCATGTGTGGTGGAGAAAAATTTGAGAATATCTCAGGAGTGAGGAGTCCCAGCCCCACACCAGGTCCCCCAGCCCAAGGTTCTGGCACTAAGAAGTTTAGTCCCTATAACTTCTGGCTGCAAAAACCAGCAGAGATTGAGTCAATGAAAGAAACCCCTGGAGACCCAAGCGGTTCCTCTGAAAGAACCCACACACAGACTCACCTGCTCAGACACTTTCTCTGAGCTCTAGTGCTGGGGTGGCTACTTGAAGGGCACCAGTGGCATACTGGAAGAAGCTGCAGCTGGGAGACCAGAGGTCTTCTCCCTTTTCTGAGCCCTCTCCCTGCAATGCCATGGAGCTGGCAGGCTGGTGCCATATTTGAGACTCCATCAATCTGGCTATCAATGTTTGACCCACTTTGGAGATCCCCAAAGACTCTGCCCTACCCACCTTAAGAGCCCACCCAAGCTTCTTTTCCACATGAATGGCTGGTTTTGGCTCATGCTTCATATGTTCCTAAATCCTATCAAACAAGCAACAGCTAGCCTCAGTGAGGTCCAGGGCAGGCATTAGCAGCAGCCACATTAGTTTCATAGCTTGGCTTTACTTGGGAATGTCCAAGCCTAGCAGAAGCAGCAGCCTTCTCAGATTGCTTTATAGCTCAGGAAGGGCAACCCCAGGCAAAACACAGGTGGGGGCTAACCTTGGCCTGTACCACCCAGGAGATTCCAGGGCCAGCCCACTCGATGGAAAACTAGAGACCACTTTGGAGTACTACCACCCTGCCCCTGCACAGCTGATCCTCCATGGACAGTGAAAGTTGGTGGTAAGAGGTCACAGCCAATCCTTGCAGTTGACTGGTCTGGGTAAAACCCTCCCACTGATCTGCTAACAGTGACCAAGGCTCAACTACAAAAGGAGAGTGTACTCAGCCCATATAAAGGGCATACCTTGAATACCCAGCTTGTGGGGTAGGGGTGGCTGTGCTGCTAAACCTTACAGGACACCTACTACATTAGGGAATACTACCAAGACACAGAGTCAAAGCAGCTCTACCTAATACATAGAAACAGAGGGAGGCTGCCAAAATGAGGAGACAAAGAAACATGGCCCAAATGAAAGAACAGATCAAAACTCCAGAAAAAGAGCTAAAGGAAATGCAGATAAGCAATGTATCAGATACAGAGTTCAAAACACTGGTTATAAAGATGCTCAAGAAAATTAGTGATGACCTCAGAAGCATAAAAAAGATCAAGTAATGAGGCATTCATTAATTAAAATAAAGAACAATTTACAGGGAAACAAGAGTACAGTGGATGAAAGCGAGAATCAAATTAATTTCAACCATAAAGAAGCAAAAAACAATGAACCAGAACAACAAGAAGAAAAAAGAATCCAAAAAAATGAGGGTAGGGTAAGCAGCCTCTGGGACAACTCTAAGAGGTCCAACATTCACATTATAGGGGTGCCAGAAAGAGAAAAGGAAGAACAAGAAATTGGAGATCTATTTGAAAAAAGAAAGAAAGAAAACTTCATTAATTTGGTGAAGGAAATAGACATGCAAGTCCAGGTAGCACAGAGAATCCTAATCAAGTTGGACCCGAAGAGGACCACACCAAGACACATCATAATTAAACTGCCAAGGGTTAAAGATAAAGAGTTAATCTTACAAGCAGCAAGAGAAAAGCAGAAGTTACCTACAAGAGTTTCCATAAGACTGTCAGATGACTTCTAAATAGAAACTTTGCAGGAAAGAAAGAGCTAGAAAGAACTTACACGACTCCACTCTAAGAAGACACCCAACCCAATTAAAAAATGGGAAAAGGACTTGAAGAAACACTTCTCCAAGGAGGACATACAGAACATCCAGAGACATATGAAGAGATGCTCAATATCATTAGTTATCAGAGAGATGCAAATTAAAACCACAATGAGATACCACTTTACACTGGTCAGGATGGCTATCATAAACAAAGCAACAAACAACAAATGTTGGAGAGGTTGTGGGGAAAAGGGGTCCTTAGTCCACTGTTGGTGGGATTGCAGACTGGTACAACCATTATGGAAAACAGTATGGAATTTTCTCAGAAAAATAAAAATTGACCTGCCTTTTGACCCAGCAATTCCACTGCTGGGATTATATCCTAAGAATCCTAAAACATCAATATCAAAGAACCTATGCACCACAATGTTCATAGCAGCACAATTTACAATAGCCAAGAGTTGGAAGCAACCTAGGTGCCCATCAGTAAATGAATGGATCAAAAAATTGTGGTACATATACACAATGGAATTCTATGCAGCAGAGAGAAAGAAGGAGCTACTACCCTTTGCAACAACATGGATGGAACTGGAAAGCATTATGCTGAGTGAAATAGGTCAGGAATTGAAAGACAAATACCATATGATCTCACCTTTGACAGGAAGCTAAAGAATAAAACAAACAAGCAAACAGAATAAAAACAAAGACACTGAAATAGAGAACAAGTGGGCAGCGACCAGAGGGGAGAGGGAAGGGAATTTAAGGGGAAAAAGGGGGAGGGATTTTGAGGAACAAGTATGAAAGACACAGGGTTGAGGACTGGGGGAAGGGAAATTGGAGGGAGGGGGGAGACAGGGTGGGGGGGTGGGATGGAAGAAATAGATAAAAATGTACTTGAAAAGTAACTAAATAAAATTTATTATAAAAAAAATAAATAAATAAAAAATAAAAAAAAATTGTGGTACATATACACAATGGAATTCTATGCTGCAGAGAGAAAGAAGGAGCTACTACCTTTTGCAACAACATGGATGGAATTGGAAAGCATTATGCTGAGTGAAATAGGCCAGGTGCTGAAAGACAAATACCATATGATCTCACCTTTAACAGGAAGCTAAACAACAAAATAAACAAGCAAGCAGAAAAGAAAAACAAAAAAAAACAAAGAAGTACTCAAAGAGATGAAAAGCAAGGACCTACAACCAAGATTATTCTAACCAGCAAAGCTATTATTTAGAATGGAAGAGCAGATAAAGTGCTTCCCAGACAAGGTAAAGCTGAAGAAATTCATCACCAATCCATTATTATATGAAATGTTAAAGGGACTTATTTAAGAAAGAGAAGAGCAAAACTCTGAACATTAAAGTGACAACAAACTCACAACTATCAACTGAATCTAAAAAATAAAAACAAATGATCAAAAAAAAAAACCTAAACAAACAATCAGAACAGAACAGAATCATAGGTGTGGGGATCATTTGGAGGGTTATCAGCTGGGAGGAGGAAAGGTGAGAATGGGGGGGCAATGGTGTAGGGGTCAGGAAGCACAATTGGTAGGAACAAAATAGACAAAGAGATGTTAAGAAGAGTATAGGAAAGGAAGAAGCCAAAGAATTTACATGCACAACCCATAGACATGAATTAAGGGTGGGGGAGTTACTGAAGGGAAGGAATACACTTGGTGGATGGGAGCAGAGGAAAAATATTGGTACAACTGTAATTGCATAATCAATAAAATATACTTAAAAGATTAAATCAAAATGAAGTAAAATAATAAAAAATACAATGAATACATCTCAAAAATTAAAGTGTATTGGTATGAAGTTGTTAATTATATGCTTTCACTATTTTTTGATGTCTTCAGGATTGCTAACGATGTTCCCTCTTCACTCTGAAAGTGGTAATGTGTTATTAGTTTTCTTCATTTTTCTCTGTAATGAATTTATAAATGTTTAGGGCCTTTAAAATTAATTTGAGTTTTTTAAAAATCATATTCATTGTATACTTTCTTTTCTACTTCATAAATTTTTGCTCTTTAAAACTTTTTTCTTTCCTATTATTTTGAGTTTATATTTTTATGCAATTTTTTAAGTGCATGGGAGGAATACTTCGCTCATTGACTTTTTCAGTAGTTCTTTACTTCTAACATAGCCTTTAAAGCTATATATTTCTTTCTATACATGGATATAGCTGCATCTCAAGTTTTGGTATGTAATATTTACATTAGAATTAATTTAAAATATATTCTACTTTCCATTTTGATATTTTCTCTGATCCATGTGTTAGTTAAAAAATTACTTCTTAATTTCTACACATGTGAAGAATTTATATTTTAAATATTGATTTCTAGCTTAATAATACTATGGTTAGAAAACATTCTGGAAGGTTTGAAAACTTTTACATCTATGGAGACTTGCTTTATGTTCCATAATATTTAAATATTTCATATTTACTGTAAACTCTGTGATTGTTGGATGTAGTATTCTTAGTTGGTATTGGTTAATCATGCTTTTCATATCTTTGTTATCCTTACTGATTTTTGTGCAATTGTTCTATCCATTATTGATAGTGCTCTATTAAAATGTCACATAATATTTATTGCAGTCCTGGACAACTTAATCCAATTATCATGATTGAAGTGATTTGAAGCTGGGCAGACTCTTTTAGTGTTGGTCTATTTTTTATTTATTCTTTTGATTTATCTTAGGTAGAACTGTTTGAAGTCCCACACCAAAGACTGATGAATTAACTAAGACCTTCTTTGGTGGGCCCTGACTTTTCTTTTTTGTCTTCATAATACTAAGAAGCTATTAAAAGCTCAGCTAATCCTCTCAGGTTTGTAGCAACCCCTTCTGTAGCTGCAAATATCTATAGAGCAATCCTGGCTGGTGTGGCTCAGTTGGTTGGGTGTTGTCCTGCAAACCAAAAGGCTGCTGGTTCGAATCCTCTGTCAGGCCAGAAAGGCAACCAATCGAAGTTTCTCTCCCTCTCTTTCTGCCTCCCTTCCCTTCTCTCTAAAATCAAAAATAAAAATAAAATTTAATTTAAAAAATACACAGAGCTAAAAACCATCCAAATACCAAGCTTATATTTTTATTATTCTTTTCTTGTATCTTTGACCTGTAATCCTTACCACCCTATTAGCTCTCCACTGCTTTCAAACATTTGTATAAATACAATTTCCCACCTTTTCTAATATTCTTAGAAGTACAGTTAGTCCTAAATATTACTAGTGGAAATGTTGCTAGCCATGACATTAGTAAGCTTCAGTCTCAGGTCACTATTCTATAAAACAGAAATCTACTACTGACTTTAAAACTTTCTAGTGCTTATTTTGCATATAGAAGTAACTCAGACAAGAATTATATTTGACTTTCTATACGCTTTCTTTACTTAGAGATGTGATCTAGTCTGGTAGTTTTATTTATCTTTATACACTTGACAAGACACACTTTTTTCCTGGTGTCTCTTTCAATGTCCTGTTTCATATTCTTCATTTGCTGGCTGCTTTCAACTTACTTATGCTGTCAATATCTCATATAAAAATGAATTTCTCTAAACAACCCTCTTCACAAAAACATTTACTCCCGCTAGCTTAAATAAACCTCTTTACCGTAATGTTGTTTTTCTTATTTTCTTAGACCCAAAACTTGAAGACAAGTCTGAATCAACTTTCCCTCAAATGTATACAATTGCAAAGATCTGATTAGTTCTAAAAATGTCACTCACCTATCCTCTTTTAACTCCATCATGTGAATCATGCTGTGAAACTTAGCCCCGTATCTCTGGATTAGTTTAAATGTCTCCTCATTCTTCCCTCGGCTTCCAGATCCTCATACATTTCGTCTATCCTGCAGCCCTTCCAGGTTAATACAGTAGTTTTAATATGGCATTTGATAAAGCCTTCAGGTGAATCTGGTACATTCAATAATAAATTCCGAGCCATTAGGTGGCATACAAACCCTTCTATTGGGATATAATCTTATGTTACTAACTCACCCCTCAAATGATCTCCAAACCACTTTCAGATAAAACTTCTGCTCTGTACATATCAGTATATTCAGTCCTCTGGGGGGTGTCTTCTTCTTCTTGTTTTTATTCTACAGCTTGTGTCTTTCCTCCCCAACCTAGAACCCCTTCTTCCTTCTTTCAGCTTGATGGAATCCTTCACACCGTAAGATGATGAGTTCACCTGTACCACCTCTGTCACATCTTCCTCACCACTGGAGCTGGGAGCAATCCCTAACTTCTAAAAACTGGTGACTTCTGTGGGGATGGCAACATGGTGCCTTGAGAGACTGCAGGAATTAGAGTCAAATGGAGATGAGTTTTAAACTCTTTTTCAGATGCACGATCTTGAGTAAGTTACTAGTTAGTTCCTTGTCTGCAAAATGGAGTTAATACCAATCCTTTTGGAGGGCTCATGTAAAAATTAGATATGATAGATATAATAGGTGAATACAGTATAAAGAGTTTAGTACATAATGGTTGCTAAAATAGGTAGTAGATATCATTTCTGTCATTACTAATAGCAGGGCTCATTTGAAATTAATCATGAGTGATTTTATCATCAATTATCTTTTATGCCTATTTTCTCTATATGCCACCGGGATACAAAATCCTTTAGACTAAGAACCATGGATATACTTTTGCATATGAAAATAACAACTGCTTGAAGTACTTGTTGGTTGACAACATATTTACATAATATTTTCAGAGTATATGATGACTATTATTTTACATTGATAAAAGAGGTTATGAGTGTAAAAAATTTTCAAGTTGTGGTATAACCAGACCAGCACCTGAACCATGCCAACACTCACTGCTGAAGGCAGTCACTGAGGGGACCACAAAATCAGTAACATGAGCATATTGATTGTGCTCAACATGGAATCCTTCTTCTGTTGAATAATCTAATCAAATGTAATCTTTGCATAGGAGAAAAATAAGTTTGACGACAGGCAAACCGTCTGAGAGGTGGGGAGGAAGGATCAATTTCAGTCATGGAAACAAGTGGAATCAGTATTCAGACCCTAGTTTACAAATACACTGAAGGGCTTATCGAAAATCAGAATGCTGACTGCACTATTAAAATGAAGCAACCCTCAAATACTGCTCTCCAAAGTGCAGCCATTTAAAATCTCTGTACCTATGCACCACAATGTTCATAGCAGCACAATTTACAATAGTCAAGAGTTGGAAGCAACCTAGGTGCCCGTCAATAAATGAATGGATCAAAAAATTGTGGTACATGTACACAATGGAATTCTATGCAGCAGAGAGAAAGAAGGAGCTACTACACTTTGCAACAACATGGATGGAACTGGAAAGCATTATGCTGAGTGAAATAAGCCAGGTGTTGAAAGACAAATACCATATGATGTCACCTTTAACAGGAAGCTAAACAACAAAACAAACAAGCAAGCAGAATATAACCAAAGACACTGAAATAGAGAACAAGGGGACAGCTACCAGAGGGGAGAGGGAAGGGAATTTAAGAGGAAAAAAAGGGGAGGTATTTGGAGGAACAAGTATGAAGGACACAGGGACAAGAACTAAGGGGGGTGGAAATGGGAGGGAGGTGGGGAGACGGGGCGGGGTGGGCTGGGATGGGAAAAATAGACAGAAAACTGTACTTGAAAAATAACTAAATAAAATTAAAAAGATGTCTAAAACATAAAAAAAATCTCTATCTGCTTAGAGAATGTTCAAGACTTCACCAATCAACTTGATCTAAGACACACAGTGATAATTATTAACATACTACACAGACATTTTGTACATCTGAACACATTCACAGACACACACACACCCTATATGCAAAGTCAAGTGTAAAAAACTATCCTCAGACTAATGAGCTGTCTCATTAATAGTACTACTTCCTGTTCTAATTATGAAATATCATCCAGGTCACTTTCTATTCTTTTAGGCCTTTAAAGAGTTAAATATGCCAACTACATTTACATAGCCTATATTTTCAAATAATTGTATATGCAATCACTAATTTTTTTAAATGTATTTGCTAACTGGCCAAGTGTGATCTCTGAGACAGAACTTTCTTGAGACACAGATTTTAAGGTTAGGGCCCTGAGATGGGGCCATCTACTTAAAAGGAATTCCCATAGCACTACGTTTTCATGGCATGACTTTTCCTTCAAATGACCAGTTGCAGAGTTGGAGGAAAAGACAGATTCCACATGGCAGGTACGAACAGTCACTATCTTCTGACTGGTTCACTTTAGAATTTGTAAGGCATATGTCTGGAAATGGGAATTTAATACATTAATTAATTCATATGTCATCTTGTTCCCCCCAAAGTTTTTTTTTAAATCTAATCTTTATTGTATTTTTTCCACTACCATTAAGTCCCCTTGTACTCCCCTTTACCCAGCAATCACCACACTGTTGTCCATGGCCATGAGTCCTTTTTCCTTTTTGCTTTGAAAAAAAAAGGACCAAAAGAGTTTTAAAGTAGTTTGCAACACATAAGAGTTTGCTAACAGTATTTTAAAAAGATGAGAAATTTTTGCTTTAGAAGTAGAGATATTAGAGAAATGAGGTTACCACAAAGATGTGCATATATGAAATCTCATGCAGGGTCCTCTTAATCTTATTTCAAGCTTTTTAACAGTGAACACATAGAATTAATTACAGATCATCCTAGAAATGGAAAATTTTCGGGTGAGGTAAAACAGTTCTTGATTTACAAACATAAGTAAATTTTTTCCCACAATTTTTATAAAGGAGATAATGTATCTCCTTTATACATTAATCTGAACATGCCTACTGTGATAGTGCCTTCAATATAGGCACTATTACATGAAGCAATTTGATGTATAAGCAATTGTCTAGAAAAACATATTTTCCTGTGTAAAAAATATTATACTTGATCATTATTTTTTAAAAGGGTTTCTTAAAGCTTTTTGATACAGTGTTGTGATAGATTTCTGATATGAGTCCTAAAACTCTGGAGTTTTTAAGCTCTTTGGGTCTTAAGCTAGTAGAATCTTCCATGCTGTTGAGCGTGGGGGATGTCAATTGAAGGAGAGTGATCAGTGGGTGGAGCTATGTGCCAGAGGGAATTCATAATAACATTCATACCCTCTGTTATTCCTAGGACGGAATTTCTAGTTCGAAACCCAAGAGTCAGAGCCTGCTTTCTCCACTTTCTTTTGAAAATGCATGTTCACCCACAGACCACCAGGCAAATGCCCAGCTGAAATAGGTCACTTAGCCTAAATAAGAAGTAGTAAAAAATCAATACTACTTAAAATGTTTTCAAAGTAATATTTCATCTTATTAATTTATACAAAGTTCTCTTTCATACACTTTTATCTATATAGATGAAGCTTAACACTTACTGTTAAATACTGTTTTTAAGTATTTTTGTCATTTTAAGATGCCATGGACTTCACTTTTTTTGTTTGATGGTTTCTATTTTTGATTGCTACAATATCAGACCACCTGATGTAAAACCTGCTGTTGACAATCAAAAAAGATTTTTTCTTACTAGGGCATCTTGAATCATTATAAATAAATTATTGTAAATAAAAAATGAAATAACAATAAGTTTAATGCGAAAGCATCAAATATAAGAACCAGATTACATCAAGGCTGTGGGAAAAATAATATAGTTTTTAAAAATATCTATCAGCCCATTGCTTTAGCTTTGCTTAGAGTAAGAAATTCACTGTGGTAATGTTAGTTTGGTTTCCACCATAATATGGAAGTACTTAAAAATATATCAATATATAGCACACATTTAAACAAAATATCAACATGTGCATGCAACATTTTTCTTTTGTTGCACATTCACTGTCCTATACACTATTTGCTGTCCACTGTCCCTTAAACATTCTCAGGGCAATCAGCACTAGGTCTATTAAGGCATTTTACATATTTCTGTAGAATCTGAATGCCAAGGAAATAAAAGGATTATGGTTGGTACACTCAGATCAACTCTTTCAATACCCAAACTACATTAAAAAGTTACAGGAAAAAATGGTGCTTCATTAGTAGCAACACAAACTAATATAAAAGACAATTTCTTAAGACCTGAAAAGAGCTAACACACAATTTTCAGTTATGTGCTGATTTTGGACTTTGATAAGTGAAAGATTCAGAAAGTTCAATAAATTACATAAAAACTACTCAGTCACAGAATAATAACTGAACATTTGGCTTTCCTTCACTGATCTCTAAAAATATAGCTTCAGTCTTTTGACTTTTGCTTTTACAAAACAGTTGTTAAATGAGAAACACAGGCACTACAAAATGCTAGGAATAGCGACAATCATATCACCCCTTATCTTTGAGACTTTCTTTGTTCTACATAAAAAAATTTTCAAATTTCTACTATGAAAAATAAAAGGAACCTTTATATACAGTAAAGGTATACACCAAGCTTCTGGATGGAGAGATTATACATGATAAAAGATGTTGGTTTTTCCTGAATTCATTTATAATTCCTAGAATCCCACCCAACAATTATCAAAAAAAAAAAAAGTGAGTTTGAAACTTGGACAAATGACTAATCAGTAAGCATCTTAAAAGCAGCAAGAGAAAAGGAGAGAGTTACCTACAAAAAAGTTCCCATAAGACTAACAGCTGATTTCTCAAAAGAAACCGTACAGGTCAGAAGGGGCTGGAAAGAGGTATTCCAAGCCATGATATCCAAAGACCTACAACCAAGATTGCTCTATCCAGCAAAGGTTTCATTTAGAATGGAAGGACAGACAAAGTGCTACTCAGATAAGATCAAATTCAAGGAGTTCATCATCACCAAGCCCTTATTATATGAAATGTTAAAGGGACTTATCTAAGAAAAAGAAGATAAAAAATATGAACAGTAAAATGACAACAAATTCACAACTATCAACAACTGAACCTAAAACAAAATCAAAAACAAAAACAAACTAAGCAAACAACTAGAACAGGAACAGAATCACAGAAATGGAGAATTTTTATGTTTTCTTTTTCACACATTCTTTTTTAAAGATGAGACTGAACTGTTACATACTGTTAAATACTGCTTTTAAGGATTTTTCTCATTTATCCAGTGATCTAGTTTCGGTGAAAGAATAGGATAGACAGGAATAACAGAGAAATCAATAGACCAAATTATATGCATAGTCCTACTACATATTAATTATTAGAACAAATACATTTTTATCCACACAAAGATATTTTTATTGTTCTCTACTGTTTCTTGTAGAGCACTTAGGCCTTTATTGGCTAATTCATTTTTGCTCCTTTAGTACATGCTGTAGACAACTTTTTTTTCTATAAGAATCTATATTTTAGATATTATTTCTTAGAAAAGATTAGTAGAAATAGTACAGATTAACATATTTGAGGTTTATAAACACATATTGTTAAAGAACAGTCTAAATAATATAACAATATACAATTCCTCTTCTTATCTGTAAGAGTTTCTATTTTCTATCACTGGATTCTCTTTTAATTGACTTTATAGATAGGGGGAAATAGATACTGTCTCATTAATTTGCATTTTTTGTTGCAGTGTTCTTATGCGTTTGGGAACTGCCTGTATTTCTTCTTACATCAAGTGACTCTTGGTTCTGTGGTGGTGCTCAGACTGTCACCCAAGAAGGGCTGACAGCCAGGGCAGTGGCGAGCTCCTGCCCCTTACATTCTGGATGATTGACAGTCATGCTGCACAACCTCCCAGAGTGGGGTGGGGTTCCTGCATTCCGGCCATGCAGTCTATCCCTGGTATGGCAGGCTTGGATCTTCTAGGCTGCTCAGATGGAGGAGGCTAAGTCAAACTAATTCATTTCAGATCATTAATTTTGGGGAGGATATTGGAACTTTATAAAATAGATGAATGTTTGAAGTAAGTGGAGAGGTGATTTGTATGTTATGTACCTTTATATATTATATAGGCTAGGCCAGCAAGAAACAGCTCGTTGCAGCCTGAGCTCTTCAGAGTGTGCTGAATGGCCCTTGAACTCTATACAAGGGTTGGCAAAAGTAGCTACAGTTTTCTTATGAAAATAATATCAACAAATAATACAATAATTAGTACATGTTAATTATGTGCATACTCACAACTTTAAACCTACTTTTGCCCATCCTAGTATTTGTCATCTTATAAAAGGAGGCAGTTAAACTAGAATAATTGAGGCCACTCTACTTCAAAAGAATTACTGACCTTCTTTTTTATGAGAAAGGTGAAGGTGGAAAGAAATCAAGATATACTTAATTCAGAATGTATGGTTAATGCATACCTCCAAATCCACATTAGATACAACTTTGTAAGAGTTAAAAAGAAAAAGGAATGTTCTTTTTCCTGAGTCTGACAAAATGATTATTGGATTATTTTAAAAGAAATGGCAGCAACTAGGCCTGCTTTTCTTTATTTTAGCCTGAGATAAACACGTCCATTTTTCTGGACATGAAAGCTGCATTCTTCATATATATCATCATGCTTATCACATTGATATTAACCTTTCTATTGACCAAAGCTACACTTTAAGCTACCAGTAAACTGATTTTACAAGGCTCTTATCAAGTTAGAACAAGAGAATATTAATGTGAAAAAAGGTAAAGGACTCTATGACTCTGATGTAGCTTTGGTTTATTTTCCCTCAGCTGCAATCAATAGACGGTACCTGAGTCCAGCTCATCTATACATCATTACAGTCATTTAATATAAATCCATCCTGCTAAGAAACTACATTGTAAATTAATGTATTAAGATACTGTAATGTATATAAATGTAATATTCTTCATATCAAATTGAAACTTTATTTAAAAATTCTAAAATTAGAAACAGAAGAACAATTACCATTTTAATATTGTTAGTTATATGATAAATCAATGCCATGAACATGCAGCTTAAATGACCTACTATTTGTAAATACCAGAATTAAGACAATTATACTATTATTTTTTCAATTATTTATGCACAGAAAATATGACATTTAAAAACTATAGCTTTCACCAATATTATTGTGATATATTAGCCTTTAATACTATTTATGTAGATGAAGCTTGGATATATATTTCACCAATACTTATGAAAGATATCCTTTCATAATATTTCATAATTAGAGTATCAAGGACTCTTTAAAATAAATAACAAAGTGTTCAATATAAGTTCTTCCTGCATTTGCTGTATTATACCTAATCTGGAACACTCCTTCTTTTCATTAGCATCATGACAACCCATAAAAGCCCTTTCACAAAAAAAATAGATTCTCAAACATATGAATATATGTCCCTACTTTCTAACAAGACAGCATCAACATCACTGATTAAAAACAAATTGCACCACAATAAAAACCTCAGGATTATTCCTAGATCAAATTTGCTTTATAGCCATACTTCTTGCCTTAGTTTTAAAAAGGAACAAGAGCACTGTCTCAACCTCCCCTATGTGGCTAGAGTTCTATTTCCAAAAGACCTGATTACAGCAGTTCCCTAGCCGAACGCTTTTAATTCCAAAAGGATGGGAGAGTCTCTTTAACTTGGCCTTTTTTTTAAATGATCTGGTACCATCCAAAAAGACTCATGTCCTTCGACCTTCCAAACACAAAGTCTGCAGTGACATGCCCAAATATCTGCAGCTGTGCAAACACCTCAAGTCCTTTCACACCTCTGTGCTTTTGCATATCTGTGATTTTAGCCTAAAATATACTGACCTTCTTAAGAATGCTTATTTATTCTGAGTTAACACATAAGTCATCTCTTTTCAAAACCTTCAGTGACCTCCAGAGAGAGAATAAACTCTACCCACTCTGCTCCTTAGCTCTCTGAACATATCTCTAGTTTAGAACTTGCTGCACTATGTTCGAACAATTTGATTACACGCTTTCCCAAAGCCCACTAGATAGTGAGTGCTTGCTGGGCAGAAACTGTCATCATTAATAGGAATATCACCAGCACAAGCTGCAGTGACCGAATCAGAGCAGGCACAATAAATGTTGTGGGATGAATGAATGAATGAATGAATGAGTCTAGGTAGTCTTAGAAATTCATCCAATGTTCAAACTAATTCTAAACTTTGTTAATGAGATTAGAACTTCTCTAGAGGGTTCTAGTTCTCTCACGGAATGCAGCCATCTGCTGGGTTTTGTCTTAGAAAAGCCCAGAGGATGCTCCCTGCATAAATTTCTTATTTAAAACTCCTAATACAGTTTTGGATCAAAGTTGACACTTTGGAATCATAATGAAAAATATCAGGCAGGTATTTTGTGACATTAAATCATTTCTATCATCTTGTCAGCAATGATTTCCAGCAATGGGATGTTCTAATTTTTTAAAGGTAGAAGACAATAAGAAGAAAAAAAAATCTTAGAACAATAGTGACAAAAATAAAAAAAAAGACATCTTGAGGCCCTTTAGACACTCCACAGTTTCTGCTGGCAAGGACAATGATTTTTTAGTAACAGATTATCAAATGCTCTGCAAGAGACAAAACAAATCTCTCTTCTTCCAACCAAATTGTCACCTGCATTTTTTCTACTGAGAAACCTTTGATAGTAATTAACTTCTTTTGGAAAGGCCACATTAGACTCTTCTTTTATATAATGTAGGGATTTTGCAAATGTTGTCAGACATTCTTTTAAAAATAAAAGAGAGTGACTAACTGATTGTAGGTGAATTTAGTATACATACACCTACAATAGTCGCTGAAAAATAGCAGCTCAGGCAGCCACTCATTCACAGCAGGCACTTTCTAATCTCTTCCTGTAGCAGACCTCTTTTGGGGTAAAAATAATGAAGAGACTTTTTTACTGGTTGAAATAATGGCTTTGGGTAATAATTAAAAGTGGTGTCAGGTGAAGACAGATCCAATGGCTCAAATGACACCGATACCTCCATCTCTCCTCCTGCCTTTTATATTTGCAACTTTCTGTAGTAACTCTGGAGAGCTCCAGCAACTGCTTTTGTTATTTCTGCACAAATTCTTGGGTGTATTCCCTCCTGCTAGCTCAAACTGGTGTCTGCTCATCCTTAAAGCAATCACAATGGCCAGATACATGGGTTACAGCGCTGGTGGGGAAACAGGATCATCCCAGGAAGCCTTGTGAATAGGTTTAGGGGATGGGTGACTTTCTCAAAGAAAAATCAGAGGCACAGTTGATATGAGAAGAGAACCAATAAGTGTTGAGGAAGCATGAAATCTGTAATTAATATAGATCTTTAAAAATTTTTATCAATTTAGCAGTCTATTTTGGTAAAAGAGTTATACTTTTAAGGTATAAGAGCAAATATTAAAAATTTTTACCACTTAATTTATTTAAGTTTTCTACTTCTGTGTAGCCTATTGGCCAAACTGAAAGTGGAGAAAATGCACTGCATTAACCTTGTGTCTTCTTACACTACATGCCTTGTTTCAACAATAGGTACCCATAAAAGAAATCTCAGATTGAGAATCACAGGTAAAGAGCATCTCCTGCATCATTTCCTAATGTGGATTACAAGTGAGTTTTTTTGGAAGATACAGTTTCCCCAGCTCCCATTTAATGCAGTGCTTACTACCGGCAGTCTTGAAGTTCAAAGATTGCTACAGCTTTCTTTTCTCATTATATTTAATTGCCATTCTACGTCAGTATTTCCTGATCTTATATAAATCAACTTATGTCCAATTTCTGGCCATAGTCAATGACTTATCTCCCTAAGAAAAGAAAAATGCAGTTTCCTGATATGACTCACTCAGTGCGATAGTTTGGTCATGCAAATAGAAAAATGCACATTCATAATCTACTTGAAAATGAAAATGTTACAATAATTAATTTTCATAGATTTGGTGAAACTCAAATAATCCTAATTATCTTCAGAAGACATTACTGATCAATAAGTTGAATCAATAATGTATCAAGCGAAAAACAAAATGTAATTCAGAGATCTGTTTCACTTGTAAAACAAGTTAAAATACTTCTACTATGAAAATTTACTGTTATATACTTATTTTACAATAGCTAAAAGAATAAGAAGCAGGCACCCATTTCTTTAAAGCCATATACAAATTCTCTTAAAATAAGCAAATTTATGAAGGTCTTATTATAGCATATTTATGAGGGTGCTATTTAATAAAATAAATGAGATAGACTATACATCATTTGACCGGTATAGGTAAGTAGTAAAATTCTTATCCTTAGCCAAACAAAAAAAAAGTCTTTGTGTGCTTAGTTACCTTTTTTTTTACTATTGATCTCAATGAATACTTCACTCGTATTTATTATGCATCAGGCACAATTCTTGGCATTGTACATATACTGACTCATTCATACTCTAAAATAATATTATGTGTGGGTGTTGTACTATCCTTCTTTCATAGACAACAAAACGTAATCATAGATGATTTAAATAACTTGCCAAAGCAAGTGGTTAGCATTTGAACATGTGTACTCTCTGCTGCAATAACTGGGTTCTAGAAAACTGAATCTCAACACAAAACAGTCTAATGACAAAGTGCTGTGAGAGAAATCTTTCAGATTGTAGGTTTTTATACACACGGTTTATCTTTTTTCTCTTTTTGCAAATGCTCTTTTGCTCTGTCTACTAGAACTGGAGTAAAAGAATTTGAAGGCATTTTGAGATGGTAATAGAGGGTGCAACTTGGTCTCCAGCTTTACGTGACATCTGGTAAGCAAAGTCTGAATTTTCAGTTAAAGCAATAACAGTTTACTTAAGGAGAAATCAAGTCATTTTTCTGAAAAGATGTGATGTTTAGGGATAAAAGGAAGCAAGAATTTAGTGATGAATCAGAAATTTACTGACAATCTGTTATATAGAGCACAGTGTTAGGAAATAGGTGTACAGAAATAAGTCATGACCACTACTCCATGGTAACTAACAGGATAGAGGGGAGAATAGGTAACAGCAATGCATAAATAACCAAATTCTGCAAAGCATACCATGATGTAATAAGAGACAAACAAAGCAATTGGTAAAACAGGCAAACTAAGATTGGGGGAGACATTCTGTAATTCCCAAAC